ACAATCAAAAGACATATAGCAAAGGGTTAGCAGACCTGGCAGATTCACAGGTTAGATATATTGTAGAGAATGTCAACAAGATTGTTGTGGCAAAATGTGAAAATTTAAAATAACCCTCGAGGGGGCTGGGGATTTTAGCTCAGTGGCATAAGCGCCTGCCTTGCAAGCAGGCCGCTATGAGTTCGATCCCCAGTACCAAACCAATAAAAAGGAAAAAGACAAAATAAATAAATAAATAAAGTAAAATAACCCTCGATAGACGGGAAACTATTATATATGATAACATAATGGTGAACAGAAGACAATAAACATTTGTCAAAATCTATTAAATTTTATAGCACTAGAAATAAACTTTAATGTATGCAAATGTTTTAAAAATCATAGGTTCCAACATCTTGGGAAGTAATACAGACAGTGACATTCTGAACCTCAGTATTTTAAACATCACTGAAAGGATGGAGGTAACAGAATACTGACCTACCTAATTTTGGAAATGAGAAGAGTCTATAAGTAAAGGCAGAGGCTGGGGATTTAGCTCAGCGGCATAAGGACCCACCTGGCAAGTGTGCAGTCATGAGTTTGATCCCCGGTACTGATTAAAAAACAAAACAGTAAAGGTAGAATGAGCTATATATACATGGTGCTTTTTGGTTGTTGTTGTTTTTAGGTACCAGGGATCAAACTGTCATGGGATTAAAGTGTCATGACCTTGCACTTATAGGCAGGCACTCATACTGCTCAACTAAATCCCCGGCCCCTGAGCTGTATACATGAATACTGCTCTAGTCGATAAAGTTGCTTCCTATGAGGGACACAGGAGAGCCATTCTAAAATCACTATACCTGTATAGCCCAAGTGACGCTTAAGTAAAGAGATGGTGGAAGTCATGTTTGTCAGAGGTAGAATGGGGAGGTTACAGGTAAAGAAGAAAAGGACGCTAGTAAAATCCACATAGTAATGAATGAAAGTTAAGAGACATGAGTACATTCAACTTAATACAGATACATGTAGCGATAGAAACATCTAAAGACCTGTGTATATACATATGTATCTCTTGCTCTGTCCCCTGAGAAGGTCTAGAAGCAAGGATACCAGAGTAGCAATGAACACACCTCATGCTTAGGTCTTAGTTTCTGGGCCATTCTCTAATAAAAGGAACCAGGGCTCCTTGGCAAATGGCAATTCTAGAAAGGAGGCAGAAATATACAGGATGAGCAAGAAATAGAAAGTATGAAAGTATTTTAGAAAAAAAAAAACAAATACACTGCAGGTACAAATATGCTAAAATGAAACTCACTGTTCTATACTATTCTATGGCATGTGTGGTGCAGCAGGCTGTTTATATCACTGACAGCTCTAAAAGGTTCACCATCACTGCTATTTACCTAATACGCATTAATAAACATGCAACAAGTTGAGTGTGGTGGCTCAATGCCTATAATCTCAGCACTCAGGAGGTTGAGGCAGAAGGATCATTGTGAGTTCAGCGTGAGCTACAAAATAAGCTCAAAGCCAGCCTGAGTTGTGTAGTGAGACCCTGTCTCAAAAGACAAAAACATAAAATAAAATAAAATAAAATGCAACAACAACCACAACAAAATGTTGAGGGAGGTATGTCAAAAGAAAAGTCCCCAATGACCAAAATTGGAACAATTAGAGTAACAAAAGCAACAAGTGCTAGATTATAATCCAAAATATACAATAAATATCCTTGAGTCTATATTGATGTAAATAAATAAGAAATGAAAAAAAAAAGAAATAGACAAATCTTCCATTGAGAATTTAAAATAATTTATGCAAATCTTCTGCCTTTAAGTGTGAGGCATAATTCCAAACTCCGAAGTATGGGTTATACATAATGACTTTCTCCTGAGCACAATATGAAACTGGGAGGAAGGAGTAACTTTACAGAAAACATGAGATTACTATGTCAAGGGTTAATATCAACAGTGATAATTCATATTGTCTGTGTACCCTGGAGCGTTAACTTTTATGGTCTTCCTTCCTTAAACTCCTATGCCTAGTTTAGTCATGAGGAAAATAAATCCCAACTGCAGAGTTATTCTGCAAAAATCTGACCATTAATCCTCACAACTGTCAGAGTCATCTAAAACAGGGAAGGTCTGAGAAACTGTCACAGCCCAGAGGAGTCTAGAAACTTGATTACTAAATGACTGTGGGCTAGGTATGGTGGTATGCACCTGTAATCCCAGCTCTCTAGAGCTGAAGCAGAATTGCAAATTCAAGCTCAGACCTGGCAATTTAGTGACTTCGACACTGTCTCAAAAAATAAAAATAGGCCAGGGATTTAGCTCAGTGGCCTAAGCATCTGCCTGCAAGCGCAAGGTTGTAAGTTCGATCGCTGAAACCAATAAATAAATAAAAGGGTTGGAGTTGTAGTTTAATGGGAAGGCAATAGGTTCAATCCCCAGTACCACAAAAAATTAAAGGCCAACATTTCAAAATAAACAACCATGGAGACATGTATAGCTCTCAAGTTTTTGCAAATACTAAGAATGAAAACACCAGATTTCCAAAATTGCCAGAGGCTTCACCAACTCCCAACTTTCCTCCAAAGGTGTATAGTATGTTTTCAGGGTGATTCTTGGCTTCTAGTGATAAGGTTTTCAAATTCTGTTCTGCAAATTCAACTGAAACTGACTGGGGATTGAAAACCAGTGTCAAGAGGTACTGCCCTCATAGCAATGGGTTGCATATCTGGATTTGTCCCACTATAACATATACCCAAAGCTGCTTGGAATTGGGTTTGAATTTTGTCTGATGAAGAGTTAAGCCATCTCTCAGGCCAGAATCATCAGTGACTAGTAAAGTAAAATTGTTATGCAGATGTCCTGCAAAAAAAAAGAAAGAAATTTTGTGGGGCAGTATTATGAATTAAATCCAGAGCCATGTACATGGTCTACCATTGAGTTAAATTCCCCAATCCTTTTTTTTTTTTTTTTTTTTTTTTTATCGGTACCGGGGATCAAACTCATGACCACCTGCTTGCAAGGAAGGTGCTTATCCCATTGAGCTAAATCCCCAGCCCCACCCCAGTCCTTTTTGAGACAAGATGTTGCTAGATTGTCCAGACTGCTCTCCCTCAATTTCCCAAGCAGCTGGGATTACAGACCAAAATAAACCCAGCCAAAATACTATTATTTGCCCAAAATTGCTGTGACTATTAAGTATGAGTTTGGTTTGTTTTTGGTTTGGGAGTTTTTTTTGTTTTTTGCAACAAAGTCTCACTGTGTAGTTCAGGCTGGCCTCAAACTCATGGCAATCCTCCTGCCTCAGCCTCCCAAGTACTGGGATTACAGGTATATGCTACCATGCCTGGCTTTAAAAATCTGAGATCCTACAGGGTAATTTCCACTATGTGTGGAAACATAACCATGGGGGAATATCCTCCAAGGCACCTAGTAGATGTCTGCAACCATAGATAACAGTGAATGCTAAAATATGCTGTTTCTGTCCATAAAGTTTAATTTACAAATTAGGTACAATAAGAGATTAACAACAGCAACTAATAATAGTATAACTCTAACAATATACTAGAAAAAAATTATGTGAATACAGTTTGTCTTTCAAAATCTTTTCTGTACTTATCTTTCTTCTTATGATGTGAGATGATACAATGTGTACATGATGAAATGAGGTGAGGTGAATGACACAGATACTGTAATGTGACCCTGGATCACTGACAACAGTGTGGATGACCGGGTATCAGGAGCAGATGCTGCTCATGGTTGAGACAGCTGAATGTTTTTTGTGGACATCTTTTGGAAGCACACTGTAATGGAAGTTGTTTCTTTTCAATTCACCAGTGTTGCTGTAGAGGCTGTAACTCTAGTGATGTCTGGGGGACCTTAACACTACATTCCATCTAAGAATAGTAGTTCCTAATTTTGTCCTTTTGTGTCTATTAAATCTGCAACACTTCAGCAAATTATAGTGATATCCACATTATTTGTTTCAGTTTCTTATCTTTCCCCCTCTTTGTAGAAGCCACAATTGGTTTTCCAATTCCATGACTGTTAACACTTCTGCAAGGCCTTTAATATGTTCTTCCAACGCTGCTGGAAATCCTTCAATGTGTTTTTCCACTTCTGGAAATGTGGCAGAAGCGTTTTAACCAGGGGATGTAGCCTCTCCGGTGATTTTTGTTTTTTTTTTCAATTCAAATCTATTCCTGAACCAGTATAAGCACCCCCCACTTACAGGAAATGATTTCGCATCACTTATACAGGGGTTCCCTTGCTGAAGTTTCCATACAACCTTAATGCCTTCTGCAGCAACTCACTTCCACTAACTGAACACGTTCTGTTTACGTCTTTCCAGCTTTTCTTTGGTGTAGTCAACTTGCTAGCATCACTACTTTTCAGCTTGGGGTCTATTATAAAGTAAAATAGGGGTTGCCTAAACACAGGCACTGTGGAATTGCACAATTGATCTGATAACAGAGATGGCTGTTAAGGGACTAATGTGTGGGTAATATATACAACGTGGATCCCTTGTACAAAGGGATGACAAATTTATGGCAGGACAAAGGAAGGACTCAAGATTCCATCGTGCTACTCTGAATACACATTTAAAACTTATTAACGTTATTTGGGGAATTTTTTCCACTTATTATTTTCAGGGCACAGGTAAGTGAAACAACCAATACAGTTGGAGACTGCTGTATTCAGAGAATCAATTCGCTTCAAACTTGCACCGAACACCCAAGCATCTGACATTCACGGTCTCGTTTAATTCCCAAGACAAGTCTGTATGCCCAGTTACACAGGAGAAACTGAGAATCAAAGAGAAAAAACACCTTGCTCAGCGTTCACCAAGCAATACAGGGCAAACTCGGGATCCGAGCTCCAGCTACACCGATTACCGAGCTGCAGCTCCACCAACGGAGGGAAAAGGCCAGGACCCGACCGTGGAGCCTGAGTCCCGGCCCAGGCTCCGAACTAAAGACTGGACGGCGCCAGGCGAGGCCTTCTGCCTACCTGGATTTCAAACTTCCCACGGCAAGTAACTCCCCAGCAAACGCCGCAGGAAGTTGTTCGTGCCTCCCGCTGAGCAGCGCCTACGGTGCCACTAGACCCACCCTTCCCTTCGGTTCCCTCTGCAGCGGCTACTCCGCCCCACCGAGAAACGCCCGAACAGCCCGGGAAGCTCAGGGCTTACCTCTCGGGCCGCCGCGCCGCTCCCCGGAAGTAATTCCTCGCGACACCCAGCCCCGGAAGTGACGCAGCCCAACCGGCTCGGGGCTTCAGTTCCGCCCGGCCGCGCGGCTAGGTTTGTGGCGAGTTTGGCTGCGCGGTTGGTCCAGCTTTTGTCCACTACAGTGGTTTTGAGCGGAGCAGAGTTTTAGGGATGAGACTTCTAGACTCCCTCGGTTCTCCGAACCTTTTCTCACTTAGCGCTTTAAGTAAATATTTGTAGAAGACTCACCAGGCCAGGTGAGCTAGGAAGGGAAACAAACTTATAGTTGACGCAGAAGTAAATCATTATGTTTACTTAAAAATACACGGAGTTTTAGTCTGTTGGAGGGGTGGAGGGTGACAAAGTGAAATAACTAAATGAACGTGAAATCATACAATGTGATGATGATTGCTTGACAACAGTATGATTGAGAGACGGGTGGGGAAGTAGTTGGGGGAAAGAAAACCTAGTTTCGATAGAGTGTGGTAATCAGTCCGCCTGGATAAGGATAGTTCCGGATACTCCACCCTTTGTAAGTCACCCCCACATTGAATAGGGCTGACCACTGGTGGTGTGTTATGGAGCATGACTTTCAAGATTAAGTCAGAAAAGACACTGAACTTCCCCTTTCCTCTCTCTTGATCCCTCATGGGAAATCCCATGCTGCCAGGACTCTCAAGTGGCCCTGTGGGAAGGCTCACATGGGTAGGAACCACGGAGCCCCCTGCCAACAACCAGCTCCAACTTGCCAGCCAAATGCACACGCCTCCCTGGGAGTCCAATCTTGGTACAGATGGCAGTCCTGACCAGTCCTGACCAGCTATCACCCTTGGAGGAACTTTGAACTGGAAACATCTAGCAAAATCACTCAAATTCCTGGCTCACATAAATTATCATTTGTACAGAAATTAGAAATAATTAATATCATTGTTTTAAGCCCCTAAATTACCAGGTAATTTATCATGCTGGATATAGGGGAAATAACTCCCAACTTGTTAGGTGTCAGATATGCCAAGTGAAAGGATTTTGGCCCAGACGGGACACTCTAGCCGGGACACTCTAGCCGGTAAAGCCTGGGAGGCGGAACCAAAGGGCTCTATTTTGCCGCCCCTAGGAATTTAACTGTGGCACGAAATGAATACCAATGGACTACTTTGTGCATCACTAATGCCCCTTAGGCACCACCCCAAACCTAAGCTACGCGTGTTCCACGGAGAGAATGCCAGCCACCACCACCACCACCACCACCCCCCCCGCGATAATGCCAGATCCCAGAGGGTCAGGGGGGTCTCTTCCCACATTCTTAAAATAAAGGTCATTTAAATTTCATACTTCTTATCTTTTCAGCTGTGCCAAAATTCTATCACCAAGTTCTATCACCAAGTTCATGCCCCCCAGAATCAATGAGTTCTAAGGAACAACAGAGGTTAAGAGTAGAAAGATTTATTGAGAGCTCCCAAGAGACAGGATGGAACCCAAAAGTGGGTTGGCACAAAGTCACCTAAGACTGTTTTAAAATAAAGCAAAAATCATAAAGTGGGTACAAAATCACAACATGAATCAAACCATATTCAGCCAATAACATTATAAGTATAGGTGCCTAGCTACTATTGATCCAGTAGAGAAGCAAGTTACATAATAAGCGTACAAGGAAGGAGCAAAGGCATTTTTAGGAAGGGGTGGGTCTGGATGCTCTGGGCACCCACCTAGGTAACTGATGTCTATCTGGGCTTTATTAGAGCAGAGATATCCATTATAGTACAATCTGAAGTTATTGTCTATCTCTCAGGGAGGCATGTAAGTTTAGTCATTCTGTCTTTATCTTGAGGCCTAATCTTCAAGCCACAGTTGTGATGTGTTCTTGTCTTCTGCACTGGCTTACTTGAGGGCCTAATCCTGTCTTATAATATTTCTACCTATTAGCTCACTACAATAATGTCTCACAATTAATAGAGCATAGAGAAGGAGGAGTTGAATGCTAAAAAGTCCTAAAAGAGTGAGACTTAGCCCACACTTGAGGCATTTGTGATCTCTTGGAGGACATAGGCAAAAATAATTGTAACTTGGGCTGGGGATTTAGCTCAGTGGCATAAGTGCCTGCCTGGCAAGCACAAGGTCATGAGTTCCATCCCCAGTACCGGGGGAAAAAAAAATTGTAACTCATTTAGCATTCACTAATCACACAGTGTGAGGTTGTATGGGGTAGCCAAAGATCCAAATTCACTTAACAAATATGCATGGAATCTCTGATACAGCTGATGAATTATGACACTGGAACTGTACTGGTAAGTAGGTGGGTCCAAACCTTCACTGTGCTTTCAGACCAGTAATTACTGATGTGAGCCACCCCCATTAATCAATTGCACAAATACATATATACTTATACTTACAACCATGAAAGATGTTGGCAAGAATAAGGGTAAATCATGAAAAAAACAAATAACCTGAGGAAAATACAATCAAGAAAGAGTGACCAGAAAAATTTCTCTGAAGATGTAACATTTAAGGTAAGAATTGAAGAGTGACCAGGAATTTACCAGGCAAAGAGAAGGAGAAAAAAAAAAAATGATGGGGGAAGTGGGAGAGACCGGCTGTGAGAAAAGGCTTGGGATCTAAGAGTAGATGAAGGGCTTGGGATTTAGCTCAGCAGCATAAGTGCCTGCCTTGCAAGTGTGCGATACTGAGTTTGATCCCCGGGTACCGATAAAAAAAAATCATAAGAGTAGATGAAGTGGGGAGAAGTGGAACCCTGAAAGGAACAGACATTTAGGATGTAACTTGGTGCTTGCCCTAGAGGAGCCCATATGGAGTATTTGAGGAGGGTATTTTTTAATTTATAATTAATTAAATTAATTATAATTTAATTTAAAAGCCTCCTCAAAAGATATGTTGGAACCCTAACCTCAGTTACATCGAACTGTGACCTTAGTAGGAGAAAAGATCTTTACAAATATAATAAAGTTAAAAAGGACATTAAAATGGTCCCTAGACCAACATGGGTGGGGGCGAGGGGACAGCACAGTTCACACAAAGAATGGCCTCCGAAGATGAAGGCAGTTTTTTTTTTTTATTAGTACATGTTTGCAGTACATAATGATTATGTTCATCATGGGAAGTTGATACATGCACATAACACATCTTTATTCTTTTTATTTCTCCTTCTCCTCTCTCCCTTCTCCTCTATCTCTAGATCCCCTTTCCATTTGCAAAAGATCTAGAGATCTCCCTGTTTCCTGTGATCTACCTTTTATTTTGCTCTTTAAATCATATCAGAGAAACCCTGCAATATTTAAGTTTGCATGTCTGATTTATTTCACTTGACATTATGGTCTCAAGATCTGTCCATTTTCCTACAGACACTCAAATTTATCCTTATTTATGGCACAGTAGTACTCTTTATCAATTCATCTATTGATGAACATATAGGCCATTTCCAAGACTTAACTACTATGAGTTGTGCTAAAAGTACAGTTGTGCTATAAAAATATGATGAGCTGTGTTATTTCCATATTATAATTATGTGTATGCACATACCACTGTAATATGATTTTTTTAGCTCTTTCAGGGAGATATCTAGAAGGGAGGTAGCTGTGTCGAATGGAATTTCAATTTTTAGCTTTTTGAGTAATTTTCATACTGACTTCTAATGTGGTTGTACTACATTCCCATCAACCATGTAGAAAGGTTCATTTTTCCCCACGGCCCCACCAGCATTTGTTATATTTGATTTCTTGATGATAGCCATTCTTCCTGGACTGAGATAGAATCTCAGGGTCATTTTAATTTATATTTGCCAGGGGCTGGGGATTTAGCTCAGCGGCATAAGCACCTGCCTTGCAAGCAGGCAGTCGTAAGTTCGATCCCTAGTACTGATAAAAAGTTTAAAAAAAAAAGAGCAAATTAATTTATATTTGCCTAATGACCAAACATGCTGAACATTGTTTCATGTATTTATTAGCCACTTGGACTTCTTCTGAGAAGCATCTACTCATTTCAAATACGCATTTTTTATTGGGTTTTAAATATTTTTAGCTCTTTTTGTGTTTCAGATATCAGTCCTCTGCCCAAGGAATAGCTGGCAAACATTTTTTTCCCACGCTGTAGGTTGTCACTTCACTCTTGGTTGCTTCTTTTGCTGTGTAAATACATTTTGGTTTGATATAACCCATTGATTAATTTTTTTTTTGTAGTGGGGATTGAACTCAGGACATCATGCTTGCCAGGCAGGCACTATGCCACTGAGCTAAATCTCCAGCCCTACTGTTTCTGTTTTAATATTGATTTTATCTTAGTACATGGTGAGAGATGTGGATCTAGATTCAATCTTTTGCTTGTATATAGCCAGGTTTTCCAGTAACATTTGTTAAAGAGGCTATCTCCTCCAGCATAGGCTGTTGATCCCTATGTCAAAGACCAGGTGGCTGAATGTGCCCGTGGTCAGGCATGCATAAAGGCAGATACTGAAGCAGTGCTTCTGCTGCCAAGAAATACCAAAGGTCACCAGCAAACCACCAGAAGCTAGAAGCGTCATGGTACAGATTCCTTGTAGCCTTTCAAAGGTACCAACAGACCCTTTGATTTCAGACTTCCAGCCTGCACAACAGTGAGAAAAGACACAAGCTGTCCAGTTAGTGCTATGTACTCTATCATGGCAGCCTCCGCATACTAATACAGGAGAGCTGGTGCTCTGAAGTCTGCTAGTTTTTACCACCAAATGTAAAAGGTCCCTACTGAGGCTGCTGCAGGCATGACTCCTTTCTCGTTTTCTGGAAGCTTCTGGAAATTACCAGCTGAGTTTTGCTCATCTCTGTGCCCTGCATGGCTCCATTATCAGCACCACAGCACAGTGGCGAACTTTGCAGCATGCTTGTTCCTCTCATTAACATCTATGCATTATGAAGGAGAAAAAAGTGAGAAATGAACGATTTCTGCTGTGAATACATTTCTAAAATAGCTTAACACATGACAGTTTGTAA